CTCAAAGAAGTGTTTGAAATGGAAGTGATCTCATCTGCTTTTCCTTCTCCAGGACTTGAATTGCCAACGTGCAGAGAATGAGCCTTGATTTCTGTCCCCGGATTCATTTCAGAAAGGGGTATAAAAGGCAGTTTACAAAATTGTAATGGCAGCCTTGCTGTCTCCCATTAAAGAAGAATTTTTTTAAGGATGTGCGTTAGGTACTGCTTGGCTGAGAGTCGCAACGTACCTGGTGTGAAAGGAAGATGCCTGTTTTGGGGATAGCAGCCTTTGAACACAAAAGAGTTTTCCTCGTGGTACCTGTTGTCGCTGTGCCCATGTGTTTCGATGGGAGGCTGTTAGCTCGCTGGCTGCCTCCACAATGTGACCAGCAGGGCCTTTGGAAGACTTTTTGAAACGTGCTATTATGGGCTGCTTTGCGATGAAAAGAGGTCTTGCAAATATCTTGAAATTTAAACAGAGCTATTGTGGCTTTTCCCTTTGTGCGCGTGTGTGTGTTTGTCAGCCAAATTGTTTGTTCAAAGTTAATCTCAATTACAGAGCATATTGTTCATAATCCCCCATGGCTCCAAAACAATAGCAGACTGTATGCCTGCTCGAATGTATATTTACATACTTACACGTAAAATATGTTTGCGTGTATATATAATTTTGCTTCTAAAGTGGTGATTCACGTTAAGGAGATGGATATTTCATGCAGGATCCTGTCTTTTGAGCAGCGCCATCCTCCATCCTAATAAAAACACCATAGAAAGGCCTGAATGGAGCGAGCAGGGCTTTGATCCTGCAGCCGCTTGGTTGGTGCAGTTGCCTATGCGTAGCTCTCGGATTCGTGCTAGCAAAACAGGTGGTAGGGTAGAGTCTGGGATTTTCAGCTTCTTGGAGGCCGGGAGGTTTTGTGTGTCTTTAATTTTAATATCTACAAAATCCCTCTGCTTTTCTTCCAATCCTGGAGCATAAAGGAACTGACAGGCAATAGTTGGGAAGTTTAAATAAATCCCATGTACGCTTCACACAGCCCCTGCGAGAGAGCCCCAAACTACAGCGAACTTGGGGTGTTATTTAGTGGTGTAGGAGCTCAGTTAGCAAGGTACTAGTTACCTGCTTTCCCTTTTTACTCATTTCAGAGAAGGTGCTCATCATTTTCCAATGGTAGGTATTTAGCAGGGGATCCCATTAGTAAAATCTTGTTTTATGTCCACTGAGGCACTCCTGAGCAAAACCAGCAGCAGCGTGAAGTGTTTGCAGTGTAAATTTTTGCTCCGTGGTGAATGCTCTAATCCTGTCATACTCTGCATGTAAAACTGTGGTGGTATGATCGAGTTACTGTAGTCTCCTTTTTGCTGTTTATTTGATCTAGGTATATTTCTTGGGTAAGTTAACATTATTTTCTGATAAATGCATGGTTGTAAATTTTTTCTCGTGCTTTCTCTGAAAGTTACTTTGGGTTTCCTGGCTCTGTATAAGCAGTTTGCGGCCTTCTACCTCTCGCTGGCCACGTCGCAGTAGTAAATTGGTGTGCTATTTCAAGAGTGCCTCTCCTGTCAGTCCGATAAGATCATGCCACCAGGAAGGCATAACATTATAATCCCAAGCACAATGTGATCCTGTTCGTTTTAGCTCTTGTACTTGTCAGAGGGACAAGAATCAAGGTTGTGCATGGGTGGAAGGTGAGGCTAGGAGTGAAGATAGCCAGAGATAAGACACTTGGCTAAAAGAGATAAATCTGCTCAGGGACATTTCCGTTTGTAATCAAGGTATTATTATCTAGAAATGAACTTTGAAAGCTGGTTGGGATGTCCTGAATAATGCAGCATGTAAAGCTGGCACAGAGGATACAGAACTGTGATACGGATTTGTGACAGGGGAAAAAAATTATTTTATCCTTCATTTTTCCTTAGATTTGGTGCCACATTTGAAAATACAGCAGTACAACAGACAAGAATAATATGATTACTCTACAAGAAACAGATCTGTATAAGAGATTTCTGGTAATTCTAGACTTGCTATGTTTGACTGGAAGAAACAAGCGCTTTCCAGAAAAAGCCTCTGAAAAGAGGCAAAATTTAAGGCATGCCTTAGGGTATGGGGACTTCAGCCCCTTAAAAGAATCCCAGCAATTACCTAACCTGCCAGCTTTCCAACAAGATAAATGGAGGCAGTGTAGCTTGAAGGTGCCTTGGTTTGAATGAGATGCAGTAAGTAAGGTCTCTCTGTTCTTTACAGGCATCATAGATCTGATAGTACTTATAAAAGAAGAATAGAGTTGGTCCCCTGCTGACTAAATTGTCCTCCAGAGGAGTATTAGTTACAGAGCTTCTTTGTTAACTAGGCTGTGTGCTTAAACCGCTGTGAATTTCTCTTATTAGTAGGCTTTTTAATAGCTTTACATAGGGATATGCTAAGTAAATGCAAGTATATCCATGTAATTTATGTATATAATGTGTACATGTACAGTATCTTCTATATAAATAACTGTTTGTGATGTGGAAATTGCACATGACTTCATTACTGTGCTGTTACACCGAAGTAAAAGCTAGCATTAAAATACTGATAATAGGAAAACAGCAAGTCGACTTCTGCTCTTTCTGTCCGGGTGCTTCACATAAAGTCTTTCTTCTCCTTCTCTTTAATTTCCCAATTAGCTTTTGTGGATAACAGAGGTGTTTCTAAAGCCTTTATGTGCTGGAAGTTTCTCAGTCACTCGCCTACGCAGGCTTTCTACCTTAGAAGACTAGGTGAGGCCATTAAGTGTACGCTAACAAAAAATACAGAGCAACAATCTGCAAACCACCCTGCGCAGAATGGCTGATATTTCCCATTTTAGCCGGCTGTAACGCAGATTAAAGGTGGTGTGGCACAGCCCGGGCATTCAGAGGTGCTGTCCTGAGAGCAATGTCACGGCCAGATTTCGTGCTGGGGCTGATGGGCGAACACCGCCGTGGCCTCCTCGGTGGATGAGTTCAGCAATTGCGAAGTTCCCCAGTGCGGGGAGGAAATCCCAGCACTGACGCCGAGCACATGAGGAAACTCCTGGGACTTTCAGTCGCTCCACCCCTGTGGGGACTGGAGAGGTCAAGCGCGACCCGATGGGGAAAGCAAACTTCCTTCTCACCACCTTCTTCCCCATGTGTACTCGGGGAGATGCTGTGGGTAACGGCCAGATGTTGCCGTGGTCTCTGAACAGCAGATCACTTCATCACGGGCAGTGCTAACTGCCTCATGGATTTTCATCATTTTGGCTTGTTTGTTTTTCGAGTACTTCATGGCTTGCCAAAACAAATGAAAGCTTTAATCCAGGCGCCCTTTTAAAATCTTTGTTATTCTAAATGTAAAGCCCTCTGTTTTCTGTATCTCCTATCGGTTGGGTGCCTATCTGTCTTGGTTTTTTTATTGCAGAATTTGTATCCCTTTAGAATAGGCTCCATTCTGCTACATTCAGTTTTCAGGGGTTTATTATATGCTTTTCAGCAGCATTTGTTTTATCAGCACTTCCTGCAGCATTTGTTACCCATCACGACAGCAGCGATTTGATTCCATTTAGAGGGATACCGTATTATGTATGGAAAAGCAGTAATTGCTTACCTGTTTGCCCAATACATTCTACTGTGAAAAATCTCTAGCATTGCTTTATACAGTATCGAACGGTGTTATTTCTTGTTTACATTTTCCACAGTTAATAGTTTCAAGAAAGAAACAATGAAAATAGTTTATTGCCCATTTTGCAATTAAGTTTCCATTTGCAGGGATTTGGAAGTCTACTGTTGGGTAAATGCAGAGTCCACACACAGATTGAGGTTTCAAACTTAATTTTTGCTTTTCATTTGCCTGATGAAATACACATACAATTTTGTGCTTGTCAGAAAAAGAAAAATTAACCTGTGGTGAGAGTTGTGCCTGAAGTATTCCTGGAAATTCGTTGGAAATAAGGTCTGCAAGGTGTCCTGCAGAGAGCTAAGTCAGCTGGGTTGTATTTATGACCCTTATGCACAAGAATAACACATAGCATTCTAGGTGGCTTTTAAAGAATGTTATTGGTGTTTAAACTATTAATCGTACTCTTGCCATGCCTTGGAAGTCTGGCTATTTCTGTGTGTTTGGGGAGGCTGGCTCTGGGCCTCCCTCATGAACAGAGGTTGTCAAAGTCAGGCCGCACTCTTGCTCCAAATACACAGCTTTGCATTTTGTCCAAGTTCTGTAACTTGTAAAAATAGCTGCTTTTTTAATGAAAATTAGGCAGCGGTAAGGCCTTGCTTCATGAGCTCGTTGCTTGGGCAGAGCCCAGTTCTTTTTGTGCTACTCAGGCAATGGGTTACGAACTGAAAATGAAGCAACTGTTTTGCGTATACAAATGAAATCGAAGAGAAGCTGTGAATTGTTCCCTGGTTAAACTGGTGTTTGATGGAAACACAGGAGCAGCCCTCCTTGATTCTAGGTGACCAGCAGGTCCCATGCTGCTGCTGAGGGCAGGGCTTCTTCACGTGTCACTTGTGCAAGGTGAAGGAGCTGCACGTGAGCAGTGCAAGGGCTGCATATTTTACACCCTTCTTCTCTCGTTTTGGTGCTGGTTTGAAGAGTGAAGTGTGTAAGCTGTGATAGTAATGGTAGCAAACCCCAAATGAAATACTGTGTGAAAGTGAAACTGATGTATCATTTTCATTAGTTCTAGTATGCTCAGGCAGAATTTGTGGGATTAATTCTGAAAGCTTAATCCAGATGGAAAAGGTTAAGTTCAATGTTGAGTGAATTTGGTTCCAATTCATTTGGTGCCCTTGCTTGTTCTTTTTCTCGAAAGAATTAGAGATTAAGCGGAGAATTGTACATACTATCCTCGTGTTCTGCCATCCTTTAGCTACATGCACCAACATTTAAAGACACCCTCTTGGTTATCTGCTGCAGTAAATAAACAAATGGACCTCGTCACCATGCCAGCTCTCGATTCTTGTGGCCTGAGTATTAATTCCTACCACTACTTACATTCTTTTTCCCTTTCTCCTTAGGATTTATCTGGATCCATTGACGACTTGCCGACTGGAACTGAAGCGACCCTGAGCTCAGCTGTCAGCGCCTCAGGCTCCACGAGCAGCCAAGGGGAGCAGAGCAACCCTGCACAGTCTCCATTCTCCCCTCATGCTTCTCCGCATCTCTCTGGCATCCCCGGGGGCCCATCGCCTTCCCCCGTGGGCTCTCCCGTCGGAAGCAACCAGTCGAGATCTGGCCCCATTTCTCCAGCGAGTATTCCAGGTAAGTTGGCTCCAGCAAACAGAATTAAACCCATAGAGGACTTTATTAAATCAATAAATACTTCTGCATTCCAAATTCATTTATTTTATGAGAATGCGACATTTTAAGGGCCTTTTTCTGCAAAATATGCATACTTCAGATGTAGGCAAATTCCACCTAAATTTTAGCTGCCAAGACCTTGGAGCGCTCAAAATTCTGAGCTTGACTCTGCATGGGTGTTTGATAAATACCTTTTTCATCGACCAGTGCGAATAGTTGATCGTAATTTTTGTATTTGGTTTGTGTGTCATCTGTCACATACTTCTCTGCATTATTTAAAGGGTCCCTTTCTTGGTATTACTGTGTATTTTTGCTGGTTTTGGCTCTTGGACTTGTATGGTGGTTTCTGTCCTGTAGGATGAGGCAGAGATTCTCCAGCCTTGTATTGCAATAATTTAATTTTGGACATGTGTACAGAATATTGTAAGAGATATTTCTTAATATTTGCAAAGGTCAACAAGTTACTAGGAATCTTGCCCCACCAGTAATGAGTGAAATGCCAGTGGCACGCTTGCCACTCGCTCTCTTGTGCCAGATGGGGTACGACACTCGGTCACGTGTGTACATTCAGAAGTTTGTGGAAATGTGTTAAGATACCCAGAAGAAGAAAAGGAAAAGGCATGCATTAATTCCAGTTCTTCCCTTGTCCCACCCATCTGGCAGGTTAACTTGCAGAAGGTCCGGCAGCAATGTGTTATTTTGTGTTTCAGATGAGTTTATTCTCTTTCTGATGCTCAAGCTTTTGATTGTTTTCTGGCACTTTTAATAACAGGGGAATTCCTGAGAGTACAAGAGTGCTGACATTTCCCCACGGATAACATCAGTTGCTGACAAAACCACAAAAAATTCGACATGGAGCTCAGTTAAAAGAAACAAAACCAGTGGTGCCTTTTCATTAGATGTGCTGTAAACCAAACGCAGGTTAAAATTCAGTGGGTAGCGTGCGTTTGAGTATTGAGTACAAAGGTATCTGTGTGAAGTGTTGGTGCCTGTTTGTATACAGAGGTTAAACTCGGTAAGCAAAGGGGAGTAAGCGGAGCATTTGCATTTTGTGCAGTGTGGTAGCTTTGTATTTGCAGTGTATTTTTCAGTACGCAGTGTAGAAGCCCATTGCTGTTGTAAAGTCAGACAGCCCACCTAGCTGGAAAGGTGACGTTTTCCCACAGTCAAATTAAGGCAGGTAAATGGATTTGCATTTTAGCAGCTCGATTGCTGAATAGGGGAAGAATGTCGTGACGTGTAAAATAGCTCTGTTGTAGCCGTGATAGATAAGGATGGGAACAAGGCAGTGCATAGGGGAAAGCAGTAACTTTTGTGAAACCAGTTGATTCCTGTGGGGTAAAAATAGAAGGGGCGTGGGCCTAAAGGTCAGGGTCAGAGTCGCTTCATCACTTCAGCTGAGCCCAAAAGCTCGTTTTTGTGACCGGCCTCATGAAAACTATGGCCTCTTCGCACAAACCGTGCCACCATTTTGCATGGTGGTTTTCTGGTCTGCTGCAGTAACACAAAAGCAGCTTTTCCTCAGGAGGGATTTTTATGAATGACACTAAATCAAAATCGCCCCGGCGTGGGCGAGCTCCTGATCTCTGCGGCTGTTTGGTAAAGGTGAGCTCCCAGGCATGAGCTGATGCAGCGCTCTCCGAAGGGGAGCCGGGCAGCTGCAGTACCATTGCTGCTGCTGCTGCTGCGATTCTCAACCTACGAAAGGACACACGGGCAAGGCTGCTATTTAAAATCCTGCAAGTGGTGGGATGCCACTGGGTGCTGTGCCTTTCAAGCTGTATGAATTAGACTCTGCTTTCACCTAAGTGTATTCCCGCCACTGTGCTTCGTTGCTAGGGTTCTGGTAGCTTTTTTCATCAGCCATATTCATGAGACCCTGTGAAAAAGTAGCACGGAGCTTGTTTGCATTTCTGTGGCTGTTTGCAGCATGTGGGTTCTGGCCATTTTTAAACATAGACTGTGTAGTACGGCGTCTCGCCTTCAATAATTTTCCTCGCTGCTATTTTCCTCTCCGTTCTCACCCTACTCTTGTTTGTTCTGACCTCATTCCTCTCCTATTACCTCCCGCGATGTTGTGCCACAGCTTCTCCGTGTGACATAGATTGGCTCTTTCAATCATTCTCTCTCCGGCAAGTCATTGTAAAATGAGCAGCTGTTGTGTTGCTGATAGCTATGACTGGGGAAAGCCAAAATGTTGCAGGGGGTTCTTGGTGGGAAGGCCGTTAAAATCAAGGTGTTGCTTTTCCAGGGTTTAGTGGAAGAGAAGCATCCTTTTCCCAATGCCTCCTTCCTTGCAACAAAATTGAAGACTAATTTAACATCAAAAGGGCAGACAGACAAACAGCCCCCTCTGAAACCTCCCGAACGGCTGCTTCTCTTGCCCTGCACGTTGAAACTCTCTCCCACCCCACCGCCAGCCTGCCGCCCTGCGCTGCTCTCTGCCGCACGCCGCGAATGTGACGGGGACGGGCTGGCACAGGCAGCAGTGACATTGGCATGTCCCTCGCTCAGCAGGCGTTTCCTTCCCGTGCTCTCTGAAGTGCTGAACGGGTATTCTGTGTGGTAAGTGGCACACACAAACACAGCCTTTGTTTCCATTTACGTTACTGGAGTAGACCAGGGAGATGAACCCCTAAGAGCAGAAAAAACAACTGGGATGGGTTTTGTTCAGAAAAATAGTTTTCTCTCAAAATGATAACACTTTTCGTTCGGACACACATTTCATTACAGGTCTGAAATCCTACGCTTTTGTGATTTCTTTTAGAGAACCGTAATGGCATTCTGATTTCCTGTTAAGCAGATCGTTATTCTGCTTTGCCAGAAATCCTGATGTCTTTATTTTGTAGCCGTCTTCGTAATTAGAGTACATATTCTTCCAAAGAATGAGATGTGATGCCCTGCACTGCTTTGGGTCTTGAACTGTGCCTGATTCAACCCTGAACCATTAAACCATTAGTGGAAGCTGACGCAGCACATCATCAAAATGCACTGCTGTTGCCAGAAGATTTAGTGGCTGTTAATTTCACTTTTCTCTCTTTTTTTTTCCCTTTCCCTCCTGCTCCAGCCATTCCAGTTTACTAACAAAGCAAAAATGTAAATAAGCTGAACTCCCCTTTCTCCCCCCATCCCCAGTTTTGATCTCACTGGCCAAAGGCTTTTGTCAGCTCTTTCTCCCTTGCGGTGTAAGCAGCAAAAATTTTTAATATTAAGAGTTCTGTGGCAGATTGCTGATAGGCCAGGAATCCCTTTACTCATGATGGACAAGCAGATTTTGTACAAGTTAATAGATTCTGTTAGTTTTAAACCTCTGCTGCAATTTTTATCTGTATAGAAGGGAAGGGTATGCTATACTGATAATGAATAGCAAATGCTGTCTTTAGAAATATGTATAGGTATTTTTTTCACACAGATCAGTATTTTGACTTGTGCTTTTAGTGCGTTACATTTATTTTCTGAACAAGCAAGCTTATTTTCACTCTGTTAAGCATCAATTGCATTTGTATTACAATTGTGTGGATGTCATATTTCACCAAGGGGCTTGGATACAGCTGGAGTTACAATTTTCAGGTAGAAATCTACATGTGGATGCTCTCACTTAGGAATGTTATTTCCGGTCATCTTAATTTATACAAACCAGCGGTCAGCACCCACCTCTGATTAGAAAGACCCCAAATTTTTGATTCTGATAATTATATTAGTCAATTTATGTGTTCCGTTTGGTCATCAACTGTACTTTCTGCAAACCTGGAGGTCTTCCCCTCCTGTACTGATTCAGGCTAACTCGCTTGAAATCTAGGACCCTTCAGAATTGCAGCAAGCACTCCAGGCAAAAATGGAACAAGAGGGGAATGGGGTGGTGCTCAGAGAGAGCTGTACAGAAAACCTTCCCTTGGTGTGTATCTTAGTCAATGTGTGGATGTTAGTCCATGAGCGACTGAAATGCTGAGAGAAGACAAAAAATGAGCAATAGTCTATCGTAGTCCAAAAGGACTTTTTAATGCAGAAATCTGAGTAGGAGTGATGCTTTCTTTCATGCCTTTTAAAAGGAGAAGCCTAAGAGTTGAACTGGTTCCAGAAGTGGCTGCAGTAAGACAAACTGATCAGGCAGATCTTGTTTTAAACAAGAATTTGGAAAAATGCTTTGCTTAGGATTGAGCTGTTCCACATGGTTACTCCATTGACCACCAATACTGCCATGGTACACGGCATGGACTCTTCTCAAACATCATTTGAGGGAGAGAAGACTACCATATAAAAGTGAATATGTAATACTGTAATTTTTTGTTAAAATTTTCCAAATACCCTAAAACAATTTTGAATCAACAAAGGGGATTATGTCTTTGTAAAATGGATATGATCCCTCTGTCTAAAAAGATTATTTTAACACATCTATCAATATTTCCCCCTTGGCTTCTCCGGAGGCAGAAATCTTGCAACAGCTTGTTGCAGGGAAGATGCATGCTGTTCACTGGCATCCGGACCAGGAAAAAACAAAACACAAAATGCCATTGACGTAGCTGTGTTCTTAATCACTGCTAGCGCACAAAACATCTATTCAGCAGTTTTGCAGATCTGGAATGCTTCCAAATGAAATACATGAATGTTTCACAGAGCGGTAGTTTAAAACCCTTTCTTTTGAAGGGTTTGAACAACCTTTGGAGTTTCTCTGTCTTTTGACAAGAGGAAAAATAAGCAAATGATAAGGTGCTCTAGCTCGAGGCATTGCTTCTAGCATATGGAGCATCTAACCTGTGTGATACCTATTAGAATTCAGCCCAGGTCACAACTGATGAATAATCTGTTGTCTCACGGCTTCGTGAAATAAGTAAATAGTCTCAATCTGTTTCTTGAGGAGAGCCCGTGTCCCAAAAGGTGCTATCAAAACTGCTGTCATACTTGCAGTCTGCCCAGGGAGATAAAGAAGACGCCCTCCTCTGCAGAGGTGGTCTTCCCAGAGC